ACTTCCCTGCATCCAAAACGGGCCACATGGGGAATCCTGGGAGGGTCGAGGTGGGCGGGGCCATCCAAGAGTGGGATTTGGAGGTTCACTGAACTGCACAGAATCTTAGCTAGGGCCTCTCCCGAATCCCTGCGAAGCCCCAGCGGTCCACCCCGTTACTTCAACCGGCGTAAATATGAGTCAGTTGCCAAGGGATGCTCGCTGCAACGCTTCTTAAGTGTGTGGGGGGGGGGAAAAAGAGAGACATAAGTCCCTTATTCCAATGCCGTCGTAACGTAGAATGGCCGCTGAGTGGAAAGTGAAGAACGACCTGTACTCCTAACTTTATCGGGGATAAAGCTTCCCGATACACCTGTCGGACCAGGTGGAAGGAAAAACGCACCTGATGTTTCTCTAGAAGGACTCTGGCGATGTCCAAGTGGCCGTTTTGTATAGCGTCCATAAACGGGGTGACTCCACAGTGGTCCTGACTGTCCGGCACGTAGTGGCACCTTGGTACAAACAGCAGAAAAGAGGGTGAAGCCCAAAGCGGAGTCAAGAGCCGGCTGGGAAATGCAGTGAAGGTGCTGGATCAGAGTCCAGGCGACGGCGAGTTCAAGTCCTCCTGTAGTCACAGAAGTTGGCTGGGGGATTTTGGACCAGTTGCTCAGCCCATCCCACCTTACAGGATTGTTGTGCTGGGACAAATAGCAAGCGGTGGCGGGGGGAGGAATCACGCATGCTGCCTTAAGTGGTACCATACGAAACTGAACTGCAAACTGTAATAATCGATCAATTAATCAATGGGAAAAGAAGATTTAAGAGATTAACAGAGTTGGAAGGGACCTTGTAGGTCATCTAGTCCAACCCCCTGCCCAAGCAGGAGACCCTGCACCATTTCTGACAGATGACAATCCAGTCCCTTCTTGAAAGCTTCCAGGGATGAAGCTCGCAGAACTTTCAAGGGCAACTTCTATTCCAAGGGGTTGATTGTTTTCACTGTCGGAAAATTCCTCCTTATTTCCAGGTTGAATCTCTCCTTGTTCAGTTTCCATCCATTATTCCTTGTCTAGCCTTCAGGTGCCTTGGAGAATAGCCTGACCCCTTCCTCCTCCCTGCGGCTGCCCCTCAAATATTGGAAGATGCTCTCCTGTCTCCCCTGGTCCTTCTCTTCCCTAGACTAGCCAGGCCCAGTTCCTGCAACTGTTCATCGTGTGTTTTAGTCTCCAGTCCCCTAATCATCCTGGTTGCTCTTCTCTGCACTTTTTCTAGAGACTCAACTTCTTTTTTATAGTGTGGTGAACAAAACTGGATGCAGTACTCTAGGTGTGGTCTTACTAAGGCTTTATAGAGTGGTATTAGTACCTCCTTGGATCTCAATTGTATCCCTCTGTTAATACAACTTAGGATTGCATTGGCTTTTTTGGCTGCTGCTGCACACGGCTGGCTCCTATTTAGCTGGTTGTCCACTAAGACTCCAAGTTCCCTCTCCCAGTGACTGTTATTGAGCCTGGTTTCACCCAGTCTATATGTGTCCTTTGGGTTTTTCTTGCCTAAGTGTAGGACTTTACTTTCCTCTACATTGAATGACCAAACACCATGCAATGAAGACACCTGTAGAAGACTTGAAGGACCAAATTCAGGCCAGGCTCCCCTGGGGGAGAGTCTATGTTTGTGGTCATTAAGACTCCATAACGGTTTGATGGTATATCTAGGTAGTCCTTGACTTACAACAGTTCATTTAGTGACCGTTTGAAGTTACAACAGAGCTGTAAAAAGCAATTGGTTTTTGGACTTATGACCGTTGCAACATCCCCACAGTCAGGTGATCAAAATCTGGACGCTTGGCCACTGACTTGTATTTATGACTGTCTCATTGTCCCCGGGGGGGGGGGTGTCATGTGATCCCCTTTTGCGATCTTCAGGTGAGCAAAGTCAACGAAGAAGCCAAATTCACTTAGCAACCGGGTTACTCACTTAACAACTCCAAGCTCACTTAAGGACTGTCTTGTTGGGAGCAGAAATGTGGGGCTCCGTTGTGGTCGTAAAATCGAGGACTATCTGTAAGCCAGGAGGAGCAAAACTCAGCTCACCTTTCAAGGAGGATTTTCACGACCTCCAGGTGCCCATGCATCGCTGCAGAACAGAAGAGATAAGAAAACATGGCTAGCTTTGAAAACTGGCAGCAGCTTCCTTTAGCACTTACCAAAAGCACTTAGACTTATATACCGCTTCATAGTGTTTTACAGCCCTCTCTAAGCGGTTTTTCAGCACAGGAGCCCAAAATGGTTAGCCACCACTGTCCTAGGGGATGGATTGAACCCAGGGGTCAGGATAGCCACTAAGAAAGTTCAAAGCAAAATCCTGTCTAATAAGGTATTGCACCCATTTCGCAGACTGCCTTATTCACCAACTGCCGATGAAGCAATTCAACCCTATCTTATCTTATCTTTATCTATCTATCTATCTATCTATCTATCTATCTATCTATCTATCTATCTCTATATCTATCTATATCATCTATCTCTCTATCTCTCTATCTATCTATCTATCTATCTATCTATCTATCTATCTATCTATCTTATATCTATATCTATCTATCTATCTATCTATCTATCTATCTATCTATCTATCTATCTATCTATCTATCTATATCTATCTATCTATATCTATCTATCTA